AACACATCCATCAGTCATGGTACCCCTCTAGTAGTATACTGCAGAGCAGGCGTAATTTTGGTGGACAAGAGCACAGCATTATCTTAGTGAAAATTATAGCTGCCATTGATTTTTACAACAGCGGAAGGCTGGGGAGAGAAAGATATTCGTGCCAACGGGAATGGGCGACGATCAAAAAGGAGAGTGAAGGTTATTCTGTATTTCTCTATCATTAGGCATCACCAAGAGCCCATTACCCGGAGCTGGCTCAAAGGGTCAGTATGGGAGATGGAAGCTCCAGGTAATGGGTTCCTGGGTGTCACTTGTATACCTGTTCTTACCTTCCACACAATGCTTTTCGTCTCTATTTTCACGTGACATAACCGGCACTCCTGTCTGGGGTGAGGTGGGGGGAGTGAAGTCCAGTGAGTCGGTAGCTGTTATGGTAAAGGCTGCGTCATTAAATACGTCTGGATGCTCCTCGACCCAGGGTAGAGACACTCGGCTCTGACGAGAAAAACATAGTCAAGTGTTAGTACAGTAACTACGATTATATTATTTCCCATGCGATTAATAAACGCATTGCCTTGAACATCCAAAACAAACACTGTATTTAATTTTCTTTTCTTCTTCAACAGTTTCTTTTAAAGGGTTCACTACATTTTGTTTCCCTTTCACCGCCTTCAGAAACTTTAAGTGATAAATTTGGTGATTTTTCAGAGACAGCTCTTCCACGAGAGTTTTACAACCATACCCTAAAGTTGTGTGCAACGGAGGCTGTTCATTTGATTGATTTTGACACAGTTATGGAAATTGGCTGTCAAGAAAACAAAGAGATGGCATGTACTGATCGTAACAAAAATCTCGCTGAGGTCAGTCGGAGTCATACCAACTGAATCGACAAACAAAGAGTGGTCAAAGTTACCTGATTTTTCTTGTGCGATGAATACCGTTGTTGATTTTCAGCCACCTGAGCGGCGGTAAATCTCCTATAAATGCAATTTAACAACATTTTTGATCAGAGATTAAAACAAGCGATAAATTTTCAGATCTGCCTTCGATTAAAGGTTTGAATTTACAAGAAGGAATCATATCGTTCTTTTCGAAAGCTCGTGAAAATTTTTTGACATCTCTCTTTGACAATTTTGTGCAAGCCTTTTTCATGGGTGACCATTACTCAAATCAAATAAGCTGAATTACTACATCGCTCGCAGCGCAAAAAAACAAGAAAAGAACTCGGCCAATATTTAGTTCTTATTAACCGAGCGAGAGGTCTGTATGGGAGAATCTTGACCTCGGTCGCTGGTGCAGACCTCACGCGACCTAGCTCGGTTAATAAGATGCTTATTACATGGCTGTGTCTTATATGCCAATTTTTTGTATTCTTTGTACCTTTTTTTCTAGACCGGTCTAGATACCGGTCTAGATGGGAAAATCTAGACCGCTTTCAATATTGATTTCAGCCAATCAAATTCGTGAATTCGTTAGTTCCCAGTCCTTGTGAGACACAGCCATATAATAACCAGCCATCTTGACCTCACGCTTGGTTAATAACCCATATATATAACACTATACCATTTGACGAGAGTCGCGTCTATTAGCAGGTTTTTATCTCGGTCCAAACAAAAAACAGAAATCCAGCGTACTTTAAATTGTATTACTGTGTCGATCTTAACATTGTCCATGAAGTTATGAAGACAAATTATATTTTGTTTTAATCTAGAATGTCTTGGTTAGAGACATCAACCTTCTTGCGTGTGTGAACGAAGTACAAATATGGATGCACGCTCGACTACGACCGTTCGTGGAGACCAACTGAGCAGGCAAACACGAATTAGTACTTCCGGACATAATACCACATACTTTAGTCTTTCAGCTTCCTCGTCAGCTTTTTGTTGTTTCCTGAGTTTCATTTTGTCCCTGAAAATAAAAAGAATAACAATACAACGAACGAATTGAACCAAGCTCTGAAATAAAAAGAGTTGATACCACCACAAGCAACCGTTTCTGGTAAAATTGATATCATTGTATGTTAAACGCAGTTCAAGTTTCATGCCATGTTCTTCCACTCTTTCAATTCTACAACTATCGACTTGCAGAAGTTCATCTATAGATAAATCAAAACGCCAGCAATATGGCATTACAACATGTGCAAGTCACGTGCCAGTAATTCTACACAATTTTTTCATTGGTTTTCATTAAGTAACTGACTTAATAATAAAAAAAATAATGATAATAATAACGACTTCATTAGTAATACTTCCACAAGGTGGCTCTTCGCCTACTAATGACCTAGCTACAGTATATTATTACAAAGAAAAATCAAACCAAAAATATATATATATATATATATATATCTATTACAATAGGATATGTACGGTTGAAACAAAAACAAACAAACAAAAAAAACAGCATGGTTAAAAACAATAATGACTTACATTGGTGTGAGCGGTCTTCCTGCAGGTTCTTCATACAGACCTCTACCTTGCTGTTCATTTGCTCTTGTTGAATTGTCCAGGTTAAATGATCTGTATGCAAGAAAGTCCAAGCACCCCTTAAGGGAAAGTTGTGTAACTTGTGTTGTGGTAAAGTTCAAAATGTATTCTGGATGCATACTAATTAGCCTTTGTAAAAACTCTTGAAGTTGATTGGTCACCTAAAATTGAGAAATTGTCTTCCTTGTCTAGGGATTCTGGGGAATACTCTGCCAGAAAATGTTGACCAAATAAAACTTAATGTACTCACTTACTACAAGAGAAAGAGAAGGTATAGAATTTCAGTTTTAGGACAGAAATTACTTTTTATGCACAGAATTTGTAATAATCACACATTCAAATGTACAAAATATGCAAGTTATAAAGTGTTTCAAGCCTTTCTGTAAATGTCCTATAATTAAACAAGCTGCAAGTTTTCATACCTTACAAAACCAAAGTAAAACAAAAAAAAAAAGCACAGCAAAAATAAGAAAATGTGGCCATAAAATTTATAGAACTTACTAATGTACTTGTGATGTGGTACTTACCGTATGGAATGTCCAAGTTTGTCATTCATTTGGTGCTTTAATTTCTACAAAGAAATACAAAAGACTGTCATTTTAATTGTCTTTGTTCTGAGAGCCTACTTTGATACATTTAAGGAACCATTTGCACAACTAATAATGATCGTAAACTTTACCCACAGCTATTGTTGATGTTCTCATCCCATGTCACTGTAATATTAAATATATGTACTGCACACTCTGTTTGAAAACCAAAAGTTAGAGTAACAGACTTCTACTTTGTAAGTTCATGGCATTTAGCAACCTCCCGTGTGCATCCATAACTCAATAGTGCACGCTGTGGTGTCTACCATTTGTTAATTATATCACAGTCACAACCTCTCCTCCTAAGCAACAATGTATGTTGCAACACTGTAATACACTTACTGATAAATGCTGTGCAATGTATTCATTTCTGAGAACTTCACTTGCACTTGGTCGATTAGCAGGGTTCTTGTCTAACATACTATCACAAGAGAGGAAATTCATGACATGATTTCTAGATTTGGTATCAAAAAATTTTTGAAATCAGGATGGGAACTGTTGCATTCTATCAGCTGGCTGGACACAATTTGACCAGCGACACAAACTTATGTTCTGTTGTTACAATGCTTGACTGAGGTTAGAGGAATGTTCTTGTACAGCCATCACAGTAATACCATGGAATGAAAGTGTTAAATATGCAGACAGCATGGTTCAATTGATTTTCATGTGACAATGTCAGCATTTATAAAGACACAGCAAATATCAGCTAAAACAAGCAAATAAAATGTTATTGTGACTCCATAGCTATACCTCTCATATACAGTCTGTATTTCCTTACTGTAAAGTCCAGATAATTTAGGTGGGTTCCCTTCAACAATTTTGTACATCACCCCCATCAGACTCTAGAAAACAAGACAGTCAAATTGCACACATAGCAAATTTGGCACAAAAAAAATTATTTTTGCAGCTTGGTAACAACCAAGTTAGAGGTGAAACCTTTCAACAAATGCATGAGCTGGTTGGAGTTATCTATTAGAATGATTGAACTTTTATCAATCTGCTTTTGCCACATCACCCCAACCTAGTATCAGATGCCAAAGGCCAGTCAGGCTTTTTGAAACACAGAGAAAGGTACCTCAGTGGAGGTATATACCTACATGTAGTTTGTGGTGTGTACCATGTAATACTGTCCAAGATATCATATTTTACGGTTATGGCAGATAGCTCGTCTCTTGTGATGTCACGTTAAAGGAAGTCTGAATGAGTTGTCAAATTGTAAACTGCTTACCTCACCCTGGAAAGCATGCTGCAGGTTACATAGCTCATACAACACCACACCCATAGACCTGGGAATGAGATATTTCACCTTTTTATCAGTTCTGAACTCACTGAATTTGGGTGATTTTGTATTAAGAGGAGGCTTTTGGGCAGATTTAAAAAGGTTCAAATAATGCAATTACAAAATAGAATAAACCAAACTACAAGACAGTTTAAAATGTTAATCATGGTTTTCTGTTTAAAATAGAAATGCATTGGGCAGCAAAATATATTGTTGCCCTGTTTTCTACATGTTGTTGTTCAGATTATTCTGTTTAAGCAAATGTTATTGAGCATGCAATTAATGAAGAGGTTGCATGTTTATGAGTCAGGAAACATACAAAAGAATACAAATGTATTTTGACCAGTTCTACTACATGTAGATTCAAACAGCACTTTAGAGTCTTTATGGTTTTGTTGGAGACCAAGAGTGTTTAAATTTAGTGATAAAGATTTATCCACTTTGATTCCCATGTAGAGTCTGTAAGTCTGATGTTTCAAGTATTTGTTTCTTGGGATGACTTGACTTTTTTCAGGGCAACATGGCAGTGTGGCCGAGTGGTCAGCATGTTGGACTCACAATCCGCCACTCCTGGGTTCGAGTCCTGCCTTGACCACTACCTGGATTTGTTTCACAGTAGCACCGAGTTCAAATCCTCAGCTATGCTTGTAAATAGCCAACTGGTTTGCCTGCGGCCAGTTGGGATTCTTTATGTTATGTTCAATTTGAATAATTTGTTTCGAACAGTTCTTTGCGAGGACCACAATGAAATTACTGGCTCTACCAGTAATTGTGTAATCCAATAAAGTCACTATTTTTATTTATTTATTTAATTTCAGGGGAACATGACTCAGGTTTTGGATGACATGACTTTGGGCCAGATGACTCTCACCTGACTTGATTGCCTACCATGGACGAATGAATGAGCAGAAGGGCTTATGACATATAACAACTTTTCAGTTGAACTCTCCAATCATTTAGATGTTGTCTTGGTGACTCACGTCAACAGTACATGTTTGATCAAACAGGTATTACTCCCTGATATTCTTCACCTCCCATAGCATGCATACTGTTGAAGTCAAAAGTCATACCATATGTCTGATTTGTATTTGTATCCTTCATGTTTAAGAACCTCAGGACTCATATAGTATGGTGTTCCAGTGAACGTTGTAGCCATATCTGATGTACCCATTAAAATTCTTGAAATACCAAAGTCACCTGATGAAATGGCAGAATGATAATTAAAATTTAATAAATAACAAAGCTTACAACTATTAACAAAAAAAATAATTTTGATATTTTGTAATGTGTGGGTATGCACAATAATAAAATACTGGAAAATTAAAGTAAAAATTTAAAAATCACAGATACAGAATTTGTTTCTAAATAGACAAATCTTTGACTTTTTGTCATTCAAGAAAAAAAATAAAATTAGATCGTAATTCGCTCACGAAATGTATGTTAAAGGTTTTGCATATTGATTTCAAATTACCATACAGTAGTTTGAAAACTTGAATTTTTCTTTATTTAAGAACCATTCCATTCAGACAATGTAAAAATTTTTGATCTCATATTCGTTATTAAATGCAAAATATGCTTGAATAAATGAATAACAATTAGAATAATCTGAAAGTAGGCTGCCATAAGTCTACAACATGAGCATCAAAGACAGAAGGAGTGATTCAACAATCCGTATGCACTCTGCCACTGGCTGGGCTCTTGTGCGTGGCATCTTGTGTTGTCAGTAAAAAAATATTCTTGACACAAACTCTACTTACACCTACCTAATTTTATAAAGTTTTTCTTAAGGAAAATGTTCCTGAAAATGAAAAAGATCTCAGTACTATGAAATGCTAGTATCTATAAAATCTGTCACTTCTTTGTGAGCAGTATGACATTACAACAATAATAGTAAACAAAAAAAAAGTATTTTAAAAAATTATAGATCATGGACTGCTCAATACAATGCAATATAGTGGGAAGTTTGGGTTTTAGAGATGACATGGTTAAAATAAAAAGAGGCAATACATAATATACATTATAAAATAATGAAAGTGCGTATCAAACATACAAAGATGCAATATGTTGTACCTTGTCTTTAAATCTCTGTGTAGAATTTTCCTGCATGAAGCAAAATGTCAATTAGATTCATAGCACAGAAATGTAAAATGTTATCAGAAAAAATAAAGCATCAAAGAGTGTAGTATGTTTTCAAAAATTTCTCCAGCAGTTTGACGTTAAATGGGGAGGGATTAACTTCATACCAACTTACTTTTCATGCATAAACTTGACAGCTAGAACCAGTTGAATAAACCATGCCAAAATTAATGACTCATCAAATGTCTTCCCAGCTTTCTGCCAAGCCTTAATTTTATCATCAAGATCACCTCCCTAGGTAGAAAAAAATGCACAGTTTTAGATTGTGTATATAATCCCCAAATATGCATGGTGAACAGTAGTTTCAAAGAGAAGGCTGGAGGGACTTATTAACTTTTAGTAAGTAGAAATTTCAAGGAATTATCAGTTTTCACATGAAGACATTTTACATAGACACATGAGTTTCTGTGAAACAATTCCTGTACCATAACAAAACAAAACAAAAACAAAAAAATCTGCTGGCCATAGTCAATAATCTGAGTCACCAGTTACGAGGACCAAGAGGCTTACCTTTCTAGACCATGCCAGCAGACACATTTTTCCTTAACTAAGCTAAAGAGATGTAAACCTGAAGTTTGGTTTCATTACTCAAACTGGAATTTTGGTTTATAATTACAATAGTAACAACGAATTGACAGAAAATGATTTACATCCAATTTGATGAGACATGAGACAATTTTTAGGGGATGAGATAACATTCAAAATTCATGCAACAATTTTAAAAGCACAAATTATCAGAACACCTTTCCATTTTATCTATCTGAATACTTTCTATATTTATCTAGTAGTTTGCTGCTACATGTACATGACAAATGTCAGTTGCTGTGTGCTTTTCAATGTGTAAATATTGAGTTATGAATTAAATTGAGGCGGGGAGAGAACAAAAGAACAAAGAACTTGATCTAGCAGTCACTATTACTAT